CTATGACAGTCCAAAGAGCAGTGAAAAAAACTTGAAAATGAAATTGTACATGAAACCTGTGAGGCACCTTGTTACTCCAGGACAAAAAGTTAGATTAGAGTGGGTGAAGATCATCTTGAATAAGTTGGAAAATGATCCTAGAATAATATATATATATATATTTGGACTTTATTTCAATTCTTCATGAGCTTCCGATACTTTACTATGATTAATTAACGATGAATGTCATTTTCATTTATGATTGATTTCATCACAATACTTTTATTAAACTTAGAGAGCATCATACATTCTCATCGCTCAAAGTAGAGTCCAATAGTGTTATAAAAACCTTGGAAAATTCAATGGTACAGAATTTAACAAATGGACAATTTTGCTGTTATACCCAGTATATATATAACCCAAAGGAAGAACAATCTGGTTTTTAAAATAAAGAAAACCTATCAAAAATAATACAATTAAATTAAAACCTGACATTTTGATCTTCTGCCAGAAAGATGGATTTATCAATTGAAGGTGGAATTTGATTTTTCAATAAATGTTTCATCTGTCTTCAGTCTATATCAAGTGGAAACATTGTCAATTATTCAATGATCGATCAACTGAATTTATTAGACTCAAAAAGTCTTTAAAAAATCGGAAATTTTAAAAGAAAATATTTCTTATGAAATCAGTAGAAAAAATTTCTGTAAAGTCCAATGCACAGTAATCAGCATTCAAAGACCAATAGTTTTGTGGCGAACAATTACATAGAAGCAAGCAAGTCAGAGTGGCTTGCATCTGGTGCAAAGGAAAATAAGTTCCTTACCTCAATACATGACACGTAGCTGTGGCATTTTGTTCCTTAAAAGTGATATGAACCTCCCATCACCACTATAGATTATTCCAGAAATGTATATTCTGTAATGGTGGCTTTTGCACAGCTTAGCATGGTTCAACCAATAATAATTTACGTGCTATTATGCGGACTGGGAGATGCTATTTGACTAGTTAACCAAGGACAAAATGAAGAACTCTAATTGGTCAGTTGGCTGTGGTGTTGGCATGATAAAAGAGGGCCAAAGCAATGAGTATGAGGGCGATTTTTACATTGGTGACATGTGGGGGAAATTAAGAACAGCAGATTGCAAAAGAAGTATTTAGTGTTGTATGAGCGACATCAGGGGAACACAGGCTCATTTATGCTTCAAATTTCTAGAGAATAATGGGAAATACTAATTTAAAAATAAACAAAAAACACACTTGTGTGTGTCTAATGTTTTGGTTTTAAAGGATAAGAATATGAAATTAAAGCTTTTATATATAAAATTGTTTTTTTTAATCATTTCACTCCAAGCAAGGTAGAAATGCCACTAGTACGCGAGGGTTACAGGGTGTCAAAGTGAAAGAGAAAACTGAGAATAGGAAGAATTGAGGTTTTATGGTAACAGTTCCTTTTTTCACACTTCTCACCTGTGGAACGTTTTTCAGCTTCCACTCAACTTTGATCTTCAAAAATTTAAATGCAATGCCAACTGCTGTATTCTGTCTTCCTAATTAGTTTCTTTTTAATTGTTCTCTCTCCTTAATGATGTTTTCTTTATTCATATTCTTTCACATTGGGAAAGGAGTATTTCTTTTAGGAAAGGAGATATTTGAAAAAATCTAGGGCAACAATTAATATTTTGGTAAAATTCAAGAGCAGCACTCTCTGAAAAATCAACAACATTTTACTTCTGTTTATAAATATTTTTTACAAAATAAAATCCTTACATTTGTCTTCATAAAACCCATCAGAGGATTAAACATGTCAGTTAAGATAATTTTTTTCCTTTTTGAAGAAAAACATTACCAGCAATAAAAAGTGTCGGCATTAAATAACCCGTTGAGGTTGATATGCTGGGAATAGTTTTCCTTGAAGAAATCTATAGCTAGTCATATTTTTTCAAAGAATGTATATTTTTACACAGGTTTGGGTGTTAACTATTTGCCCATAGCTGGGACCCTAACAGGTGCTACCACTCTGGGTCAGGGTGGACCTGGGAACACCAGCAATTAAGAGGATCCTGTATCATAAATTCAGGAGGAGGGAGGGGCACAAGATCCTTGCACCAGTTTTGGCATTTGTTATATTAACACTAATACCCTTGTTTGCTTCAAATGTTCTGATTTTTAATATAAAAATAAGTGAATGACTGATGCTGATACAAATATAAAAACATGTACTCATGTTGGATATGAAAGTTTTGTGTTGGTATTCATTGAGGACAATTCCTAGAGAGAAGCCATATTGTTTCATCAAACCATTTTCATAGTCAAGTGATCTATTTCTGAATGAACTTTATTGCTGTGTAATACTTGTGGATGTTCACAAGGTTGTGAGTTTTGTATGTATTTTTTAGGTGTATATGCATGTTCAATATATAAACAAACATATTTAGATAAATTGTATTTATTTTCAATTATTCTAGTTGAACTGTTCACCTATATTGCTCATGATTCATTTTTTGAACAGAATTAGAGGATTATCGCTTGTTTCCTGTTTAGGATTATGTTTCCGTTTCCTTTTAAATTCTACTTCAACTTTATAATCATAACATCTCTGACTGAGCTATGAAATCTGCATTTTTAATATAAATGAACGTTCGGATTTTTAATATAAAGACAGATGGATGACTACTTTTATTCACTAATTATTTGCTTATTTATTTTCCCTTCTCTCCGGTAAGGAGTAGATGGGTTCATCAATTGTGCGGTTTACATACCTTCCCCGGCTCTTGAAGAGGAGCAGTAATTGAAACTGTGTTTCAGGATTTGAGGCTTATTCCTTGCTCTAGTTTCTCTAATTATGTCTCTAATTTGTATTTAGATACATTGTATTTATTTTTTATTTTTTTAGTTGAATTGTTCACTTATATTGCATATGATCCATTATTGTACATAATTAGGTTACAATAAAATTTATATTTTATATGAATTTTATGAAAATTGAAATGTAGTAGAATGGGGCTGCACTTTTTTTCCGAATTATATATATATATATATAATATATCATATATTGTGTGTGTGTGTGTGTGTGTGCATTTTACTGAATTCTATGTTTATAATTTCAAAATTTTTGCCAAAATAAAAATTTAATAAAAACAAATTTAAATTTGATTTTGAATTTACAATTTTTTCTTGTGAAAGAAATATTTATTATAAGTTACTTTACATTTTTTGGATGTTTTTTTATTTTTTATTTCCAAATTTTTAAAGAAAAAAATCTCAAATTGATGTTAAAAATTGCTGCAAAACATTGTTGATTTATTTAAGATGGGATGATCTATTATGACATGTCTCTAATTTGTATTTAGATACATTGTATTTATTTTCAATTTTTCTAGTTGAATTGTTCACCTATATTACATATGATCCATTTTTTGAACATGCCCTAGATGTTTTATATGAATGTTTCCTGTTTAGGATTGTATTTTGAGATGTTTAAATTTCTACTTCAACATAATCATAAGTCTCTGACTTAGCATTCAATACACATTTTTTGAATATAAATTTAATGGTAGCGTCATATAAAACAGACGGATGGCTAATGCTTATACATTTCTTAACATGTTGGTTAATAAACTAAAAAAACAACCAAATAGTGTGAATATTCATCTTCACAAAATTTTTCCAACAAGCATCCAGTTGGCTGACAAAAAAAAAACAGGGTTGCTGTCAATACATGTCCCTCTGTTGAATAAATTCTGATGAATTAGTTCACAATATACTTCCATATTGAGCACAATATCCATACACAATCCATTTAATTTCAGAACCTACATAATTTCACTTGCCTAGGTAACAGAATGGAATCTCCCAGGCTGTTATATAAAACAATCATTTCGATTTGCCCAAAAATGGATTCAGAATCAACTTCTATTAAAGTCAAGTACTTTCCTTTTGTTATTACTAAACGCTTTTTGTTTTGTGTTGGTATTCATTGAGTGCAGTTCTAGATTGTAAAAAATATTGAAAATCTCACTTCATTTTTCTTGTCAAGTGATCTATTTCTAAATGAACTTTAACCATTTATTTATTACAGGAAAACTTGTGGATGTTAAAGTTGTGAGTTTTGTGTGTATTTCTGAGGTGAAGGTGCATGTTCAATATATAAACAAAAAAGATAGAAAAAGTATTAAAAAAATTTGAGTTTCTGCTACAGATGTTTATTTCTTTTATTTTGACTGTATTGAAACAAAAGTAAATGTCTCTTGAGTAAGTCTGTTTTTCCTTTTTGGTTCAGAAATAATTTATGGGAAGTAAGAATATAAACAGGTAAAGATGGTCGAGCTCAAGTCAGTCTCAAACTGATTTGGAATAGCTGAATATCTTCTTCATGAGTGGGGTAGCTGTAAAAACGTCAATGATTTTGTTGGAACTTTCCAGAAGCGGTGCCATAAAATCACACATGTGACCAGAAAACTTTCTGGTTTCTTTATAACTTGATTCATGGGAAATTTAATTTATTTTTTTATTTTTTATTATAATTTTATTTATTGGTCTTATTCATTTTCCAATAGACTTTAAAAAAAATTCAAGAAAATATTAATAACCTTATAAAAGACACAATTTGCTTTTCTCTATCTCTCCTGTATTCAAAGACAAAAGAATAGTTTATAGGACTAACATAATACTTCAATATTCTGCAAAACTTCATAACTTTTTGAGTGAATTTACAACCATATTTTTAGATGCCATAATTAAAACTGTTGTGGGAAATTTAATACAGTAGTTTTGTTTTCAACAAAATCTTAAGAACTATATATTTTCTGTTTAAGTAGAATCTCAGTGAAGGACATTCAAACTGGAATTAAGAGATGTTGTCATTTAATAAATCACTTAATTTTGATCTATGGATCAAATCCACCAGCAGGAAGAATGCCTTCATTTCTTGCAACCAAGGCAAAGGTCAGTGACTGAGATTTTAGCTGCATGAAATGTCATAACAGCCATTGAGGACAAGGAAAACAATGTTCGGCTAATCACAGCCTAGTAATCAATGACAGGAGTTCCCTTAGCAGAAGGTGTCCATATAGATCTTTAGGATTAAAAAAGAGAAAATGAAATGGAAAAGGACCGGAAAAAGAACAAAAGAGAAAAAGGAAAGAAAAAAAATAAAATGTCAGAAAAAAAAAAAACAAATAAAAAAGTTGTTGAAAATGAAAAAAAAAGAAAAAAGAAAAAAAGCAAAAAAAAAAAAAAAAACAAAAAGCAAAAAAAAAAGAAAAGGAAAAAAAGCAAAGAAAAAAAATTTTTAAGAAAAAAATTTCTCTAAGAAAAAAAAGAAAAGGACAAAAAAGCAAAAAAAAAAAAGAAAAAAAAACAAAAAAGCAAAAAAAAAAAAGAAAATGAAAAAAAAGTTTTAAAAAATTCAAGGGCAAAAAGAAAAGAACAAAAAACAAAAAAAAAGAAAAAAAAAAAAAACAAAAAAGCAAAAGAAAAAGAAAAATTGACAAAAAACAAAAAAAAAAAAAAGGACAAAAAAAAAGAAAATTCAAAAAAGGAAAAAAAAATGAAGAAAAAAAAAAAAAGAAAAAAAAGAAAAAAAAAAAAAAGGAAAAAAAAGAAAAAGAAAAAAGAAAAGAAAAAAAAAAAAAAAAAGGAAAGAAAAAAAAAAAAAAAAAGGACAAAAAAGCAAAGAAAAAAAGAAAAGGACAAAAAAAAAAAAAAGAAAAAAAAAAGAAAAGGTTTATGTAGTCCTTCCAAAAAAAAAAAAAGGACAAAAAAGGAAAGAAAAAAAGAAAAGAAAAAGGACAAAAAAGCAAAGAAAAAAAGAAAAGAAAAGGACAAAAAAGCAAAACCTAAAAGAAAAAAAAAAGGACAAAAAAAGCAAAGAAAAAAAGAAAAGGACAAAAAAGCAAAGAAAAAAAGAAAAGGACAAAAAAGCAAAGAAAAAAAGAAAAGGACAAAAAAGGAAAAGAAAAAAAGGACAAAAAGGAAAAAAAAAAAAAAAAGACAAAAATACGCAACAGGAAAATTTGGTAAAAAAAAAAAAAAAAAGAAAAAAATAAAAGGACAAAAATATGGACAAAAAAAAAAAAAAAAAAATGACAAAAAAGGAAAGAAAAAAAGGACAAAAAGTTGAAGAAAAAATTTTTTGAATTAAAGGAAAAAAAAAAAGAAAATGAAAAAATAGAAAAAAAAAGGACAAAATAAAAGAAAAAATAAAAAGAAAAAAAAAAAAGAAAAAAAGAAAAAAATAAAAAAGAAAAAAAAAAGAAAAAAAGGACAAAAAAGCAAAGAAAAAAGAAAAGAAAAAAGACAGAAAATGGAACAAAAGAAAAAAGAAGGAAAAAAGAACAAAAAAGAAGCAGAAAATATTGATTTGATATTTAATGAATTTGGTGAAGTATGATTGGAAAAACATCAAAGAATTCAGAAAATGTTTAGCTCAGAAGAAAGATTGACTTCCATTTGGTAGATATTGAAATTTAATCTTTACATATATCTTTCTTTTAAATTTCAGCAATTAGTAATAGATTGAGTGGGATGACAAGACATCCAAGAAACAGATCACAATAATTCTGGATTGTAATGCAAGATTCATTGTATTTCAGCAAGTAGATAAATTTATTTTGATTTGATCAACTGATTTTTAAAGTCTTTCTCTTTTTTCATGTCTCGGTGAAGAGGAATGTACACAAGTTGTATTTGTATACATTTAATAATAATGCAAAAATACTTTGCCTTAATCTATAATGCCTGAGTCCCCTTTAAGGTGACCTGAAATGCTTATCCGAGCATTCTTTTCACAACAGCCTGCAAAATCCTCTTTTGGGATTGCTATCAACTGCCATGTCTCATTCTCCTTAGCTTTTAGCAATGGAGAAAAAGAAGGCAATTTGGCATGCATGTCATGCTAGAGTCAAAGTGAATTGAGTTATGGAACATAGACTTATTTATTAAAGTTTTGATTTATGAATTTGGTGGTAGAGTGGTGAGTTCAATCCCTGAGCCTGGTAGAACAGACTTATTGGTAATGGTTATATTAACCATTTCCCTACAAGGAAACAGTTGGTATTCATTGACCGAGCTGCTTTCAACTGAAATTTATAAAATCTTTCTCTTAAAACAATTTTTCAGGAAAATAGCTTTCTCAACTCCACTAAGTGTTATAACTCTTTTCACTACTGATGAGAATGAATGTCATCATTTTCTCTTCAAGTTACATGTGCTATCCATTTTAGTTGTTGCCACTTTTGGTAGTCATGAAATGATGTGGTTTCAGCTGTCTGGTGATTTGTGATTCTGTAGCACCAGTTGACAATGTTCAAAGAAGGATGGTCCTTGACAAGATCCATAGGGTTCACTTGCTCAAAGCCATTTTTAACATTTGATCTTAGAAAAACATTGTATACAATTGACACTTTATATATTTCTCAACATGTATGGCACCATGCCAGGCATCCTCATAAAAGCCTCAATTTAATGAGGCTATTTATGAACATGACTTAAGTTTTCAGTTGAAGGTTTGGGTTTGGCATGGTTTGGTTTGTTTTACACCATATCAATCACAATGGGTTATTTAATGCAGACAATTTTTATTGCTGGTAATATGTTTTTCTTCAAAAAGGAAAAAAATTATCTTAACTGACATGTTTAATCCTCTGATGGGTTTTATGTATTGCTGGTAATATTTTTTTCCTTCAAAAATCTATTACTAGCAATATTTTTTCAAAAAATGTGTAGCTGGTAATTTTTTTTTCAGAAATGTAGAGCCTGCAATTTTTTTTCAAAATTGTATAGTATACCAAAAATAGGAGTAAAAGTTATGGCGTATGGATATTGATACAAGATGTGTTAGTTTGGTTTGTTTTATGACATATCAACCTCAATGGGTTATTTAATGCCAACAACTTTTTTTTTCCTGCTAATATTTTGTTCTGTCAAAATCTATTTCTGGTAATATTTTTTTCTTTAAAAATATATAGCTGGTAATATTATTTTAAAATGCATTGCTGGTAATATTTTTTTTCAAAAATATATTGATGGTAATAGTCTTTTTTTTCTTCAAAAATTTATTTCTGGTAATAATTTTTTACAAATTATTTCTGGTATTAAAAGATATTTTTTTTATACTTTCATAATGCTCTTTACCTCAGTTTCAGGGTTACCTATTTGCCCATAGCTGGGACCCTAACATGTGCTACCACCTCAGGTCAGGGGGTATCTGGGAACACCAGCAATTAAGAGGTGGTTCGAAGATCCTCAAAACCTCCTGATCAAAGGCCTTGCTGTTGGACGCAGTTTATCATTATAGCCAGGACGATGTTTAATTTAGAAACATGGGTATGGTGTACATTGGCAAGATAGTCATAGGTCCAACTATGTGTGTAGAAACCTGCAAATAGCAACAAGGTCATGTGATATTCAATATTAACCCACGTACACACCTACACATATACACACATGTGTACAAATCTACATTTCTACACATGAATGTACACCCATATGTGCTACTATCTATACCAAAAAACCAACACTTCACAGATCATCCTCCCAAAAATAAATACTGTAAGCATTTTTAGGGGATTTTAAATCTCTTTTTGTGTCTACACTTGAAGATTAGTTCATTTTGTTGGTTTATTAATTGGTTAGTATTTGTGCATTTGGTTATTGCGATTTTCCCTGTATACACAGATCACATCTGTCCTTGAAACTGTTGGTAGTTTGAGGACAATAGATGACTACCTATTTGATTATTGGGGTGAGATTACTATCTTTAATTTTCCAGTAATGCTTGAAAAGAGCTGTTTGGTTTCTCAGGTCAGTATAGTGCTCTGTAGTCTACACTGAGCTCACCCTGGATTTATATCCTCTTCAGAATTATCACTTCCAGTCAAAAACTGGTAAAACACATATATATA